GGACGAGGGCCCGGGGCGATGGACACCTGTGGGACCAGGGCCCGGGGCGATGGACACCTGTGGGACGAGGGCCCGGGGCGATGGACACCTGTGGGCCCAGGGCCCGGGGCGATGGACACCTGTGGGACCAGGGCCCGGGGCGATGGACACCTGTGGGACCAGGGCCCGGGGTGATGGACACCTGTGGGACCAGGGCCCGGGGTGATGGACACCTGTGGGACCAGGGCTTGGGGTGATGGACACCTGTGGGACGAGGGCCTGGGGTGATGGACACCTGTGAGACCATGGCCTGGGGCGATGGACACCTGTGGGACGAGGGCCTGGGGCGATGGACACCTGTGGGACCAGGGCCTGGGGCGATGGACACCTGTGGGACCAGGGCCCGGGGTGATGGACACCTGTGAGACCAGGGCCCGGGGCGATGGACACCTGTGGGACCAGGGCCCGGGGTGATGGACACCTGTGGGACCAGGGCTCGGGGTTTGTGGACACCTGTGGGACCAGGGCCCGGGGCGATGGACACCTGTGGGACCAGGGCTCGGGGTGATGGACACCTGTGGGACCAGGGCCCGGGGCGATGGACACCTGTGGGATGAGGGCCTGGGGTGATGGACACCTGTGGGACCAGGGCTCGGGGTTCATGGACACCTGTGGGACCAGGGCCCGGGGTGATGGACACCTGTGGGACCACGGCCTGGGGTGATGGACACCTGTGGGACCAGGGCCCGGGGCGATGGACACCTGTGGGACCACGGCCTGGGGTGATGGACACCTGTGGGACCAGGGCTTGGGGTTCGTGGACACCCGTGGGACCAAGGTTCAGGTGAGCAGCTCATACAAATGCTCACTTAGCATACAAACGCTAAATACTGGGGTTTCCTCAAAATGTGACTCCCCGCAGCACCAGGTCAGCGTGTCAGCTTCCTATAGGATAATTCCTTTAAGTCAATCCTCAGGTCATCTTCTGAATGAACTATGGTTTGGAGGAAAGTAGGGTGAGGAAGGCTGGATAGTCTCCTCGGCAGGCGGGAGGCTGGGGACCCTCGGTGGGTCCTAGGCGTGTCCCATCCCCGCCCTATGTCCGGCTGCCATCGGGCAGCCGGGGTATGGGTGAAGGTGGCGCCGTGGGGTGCGCGGGGTCCTCTGCACAGAACTGCCGGCGCCATGAGCCCTTCCGGCACCGGCCTGGGATCGCGCTCACGGCCAGGCCCTCCGCGGCCAGGCGCCCGTGCTGGGAGGCGGTGCCGGGCACTGGCATGCAGATGCCGTCACTGGGCCTGGTCCCTCCTGGTGCAGGCTGCTGTTCCTGAAGCTCAGAGCCCAGAACGAGAGGGAGAGGTTTGCCTTCTGCTCCGTGAAAGGCTGCGAGAGAATAAAGATCAAAGCCCTGCTTCCGAGGAACGCGGGCGTCAGCGACTGCACGGCCGCCGCCTACCCCAGGTTCGCCGAGCGGGCCCTGGTGGACGTGCCCATGCCCAGGAAGCTCTCTGGGACGCAGCTGGTGAGTAGCGCCGGGGCCGGGCCCTGGGCCTCCACGCCCAGACCCCCGGTTGGCTCTGGGGCCCTCATGGCCTCTCTCTGCATTGCTTTCCAGAAGACAAAAGACCGTTTCCTGGAGGTGAAGATGGAGAGCTCCAGGCAGCACTTCCATCTTCGCAGCGACTTCGCTTACGTGGAGGTAACCCCTGTGGGCCGTCTCTGAGCAGCAGCACTGGCCCCTTAGGCCATGGCCATGGTAGTTCATGCCCACAAACCAGGGTCAAAAGCCCAAAAGCCAAGGTCAGGCAGGCTGGCTGCCTCCAGGCCCCGGGGGGGGGGGGGCAAGGCTACGCCTTGTCTCTGTAGTCTGGGGTCTGTACCAATACCCAGCTGCAGACACAGCACTCCGGCCTCTGCCTTCCTTCCTAAGGCTTCTGTGACTGGACCCCCGGGTGACTTCTTTCTACACCCTTTACAGTAGGCTATGTGTATCAAATGCATCTGTAGACTGTGGCTTGAAGCCGGGGCCTTGAAAGGGCTGGGGCTGGGGCTATCCCTCAGCCCATCTTTGTGCGTTTAGTGTTTATCAGATAGGGCCTGTGCTTTTGCCCCATCTGGCTTCAGCCCTTGATCCTCCGACCTTTGGCCTCCAGCATCGCTGGGGTCCCAGGTGGATGCACTGCCAGTATCTGGTGATACTTGCTAGGTAGGTGCTCCAGCACTTGAGCCACAACCCCAGCCAGGCCTTTTTGCTTTTGCTCTTAGATAGGTACTCACGCTTTTTTGTCCAGGGCCAGCCTAAGACCTTGATCTTTACCGATGCCTCGTCTATAGCCGAGACTACAGGTATGCACCACCACACCAGCTTGTGTGCTGGGAGTCTCCATTTTTGCCTGGGCTGACCTTGAACTGCAATCCTCTCACCTGCCGTGGGTGCGGAGACACAGTTTCTAGATGAGGTCAGCGCTGCAGGTTCCGGGGGGCTGTATCTGTGGGGACCCGCCCGCTAATCAAACCACTTCAGAAGCCACAGGGATCTGGCTGAAAGGGCTTTTGCCGAGGCGGCCGTCTTCACAGTATTCAGGAAGCCCTGGGCCTCTCGGCTGCCTTGCCTGCCTCACACCCCGATGCTTCGGCCCTGCAGGTGGACGGGAGGACGTTCCCCAGCCTGGAGGACGGCGTCCAGGTGGTGGTGGTGGATGGGCGCCGGGGACACGTGGTGAGCCACACCAGCTTCAGGGCCTCCGTTCTGCAGGGAGTCCCACGGCAGCTCTTCACCTACGTGTCGGCTATCCCTGACAAGTGAGTCTGTGCCTCTGTGTCCCTTGGACGCTGTGACAACCTGCCCCGGGGTCACGGCTGCCGGGAGCACCGGTCAGGCTGTGGCACACGCGAGTGCAAGGCCCACCACACCTCTAGCCGGTGGCTTCCGCGCGTCCCCAGGCCAGAGTCGTCCTAAGCCCTGGTTGTCCCCATCGACTCCTCCTCGGCTGTCACCATCTGGGTGTCTCCCGAGAAGCCCCTGACCCTGCCAGGCCCCTCGTGTTCCGGCTTCTGTGTGAACTCCCTTTCTCCACTCCCCGAGACCTGACTGGTCCCACATCAGCCCATGAGTGGAACCACCCTCTCCCACCCCCCCCCCAGCGCCCTCAGGGCCCTCCCTGCTGGCCAGCCCCGGGGACACGGGCTCCCAGCCTGCCTTTTACCCCCAGGCCCCCCCAGGGCCCATCCTCTGCAGTCCTGTGCAGTTCCCTGGCACCAGGTCTCCTCCAAGCCAACCCAAAGTCCACGACTGCCCACTCACCGTAGGACTAGAGGACAGGAGTTCGGCCTCAATGCTCCTCTGCATGTCTAGCACAGAACCTGGCTCCTTCACTGTGCATGGAATTGATCGGGGCCACAGCTTATGGACAGCCTGTTCGGTGGGTGCCCGCACACAGTAGGCCCTCAGAGAGCAGGTGACTCACCACAGTGGACCCTGGGGGAGATTCAGGGGAACAGCCCCCTCGATTCCCGTCCTGGGACAGCACACTTGCCATCTAGAGATCAGTAGTTTAATGCCTTTGATGCTGAAGGACCAGGAGCTGCTGTGGAGCAGCCCAGGCCTCTCCCTGGAGGAGGGGCCAGCCCTGGGTACCCGCTGTATCGCCGGCCTCCAGGACCTCCTGGGGAACAGCGGAACTTCTCGCTGCGGCTGCACACCCGGCCGGGGCCCACGCACCCTTCCAGCCTCTGGCCCCACAGAGCGGAGCAGCTGCTCTGCCCACGGCCTCTGCCTTCCCTCCATGAGTCAGGCTGCTGGCACAGGCAGGCAGCTCAGTGCTGGGTGCTGTCAGGAGGCCGTGGTGGCCGACGTGCTGCCTCTCCATTCCTCTCCTATGAGCTGACCTTGACCCCCACGCAGAAATGGGTGATGGCAAGTAGAGACTGAGCCAGTGCCAAGTTTGCAGTGAGCCCCACCCCACCCATCCCTGGGTCTCCTGTCCATCTGTGGGCGCTGCCCACGAGCCCTTTGCAACCCTTTCCTAACCTTCCAATGGCTTCTCTGCTCCCAAAGGGCCCGAGCGAGGCAACCACAGGTTCCAGAGCCCCACGGTTTTTCCATGTCTGGACTGTGGTCTGTGGATACAGAATTCCTTTGAGGCTCAGCCGCCCTGTTTCTGTTCTGCGGGTCCCGCGTGAGTCTGGCGGCTGCCTTCCCAGCAGTGAGGACTAAAACAGCCCCGGGCAGGAAGCAAAGATCCTTGCTCAATGCGCTTTCCAAAGTTAGCAACTTCGGGCCAGGCCAGCACAGTGCCCTCTGGCTGGGCCCCTGGATACTCCTGCAAGTATTTTCTAGAATTCTCATCTGGAAAAACAAAAAGGAGGGGTGCAAATTTTGCCTGACTAGCCAGGGAGATGACATGAACAGAAGTCAGTCTGAGTGCACAGTGACTACCCGGTGGGCCCGCTCCTCCTCAGGCGCCGAGGGGGTGCGGCTCTGAGCCACGCGTGGTACCGTGGAACGCGGGCTCCAGGCGCCCGGCCAGGCCTCCCCCACGAGCCCAGGCATCGCAGCTACCATCAGGTCTGCTCCGGGCTGAAGTTCTGGGAGCTCCCAGTGACACCCTGGGGACTGGGCTCCCCACTCTCTCGCGTTGCTCCTTCCATCCATCGTGGCTTTCTCCATCACCGCGTTGTGTGGCTCCGACCAGGCGCGTGTGGACATGCCTGTGAGCTGGGTCTCACACGGGCGCTGGTGCTACCTCAGCGCTGTGGTCACGTTCTCTGCCCTCTGTATAAAGCAGAAGCCACGGCTGGCGTGGGAGGGGCTCAGGGTGTTTGTCCCCGCACAGAAAGGATCTGTCGTTTAGCTAGCTCGGGTGCTGCCGGGCGTGGACCAGCACCTCCCCAAGTACCCCTGCTACGGCCTGCTCTTGTTCTGCTCACCTAATTGTTCTTCTCACCCAGTTCCATAGTTCTCATGGTGTCAAAAGGAAGGTACACCACCAGAGGCCCGTGGACCAGAGTGCTGGAAAAGCTAGGGGCAGACAAAGGGCTCCGACTGAAAGGTGAGTGCGCAGACTTAAGTTTAACCTGACCCCACAGCGCCTGGGCTCAGAACCTTCCTTCCCACCAAACTTGGATGGCCTAGTGTGGGCTGGGGGCTGGGGAGGGGAGGGCGCCCTGGGGAATGGGGTACACTGGGGGCTGGGGTGGGGGAGGGCGCCCTGGGGAATGGGGTGCACTGGGGGCTGGGGTGGGGGAGGGCACCCTGGGGAATGGGGTGCACTGGGGGCTGGGGGAGGGCGCCCTGGGGAATGGGGTGCACTGGGGGCTGGGGTGAGGGAGGGCACCCTGGGGAATGGGGTGCACTGGGGGCCGGGGTGGGGGAGGGCGCCCTGGGGCTGGGGTGCCGTCATTCTGGAAAAGGCATGCAGCCGTCTCCTGGAGCTTCTACTCATGGGCCCATCACTACTTTGCAGAGAAAATGGCTTTGGTTGGCTTCAAGGGCAGCTTCCGGCCCACCTGGGTGACTCTGGAGACCGAGGACCACAAGGCCAAAATCTTCCAAGTGGTGCCCATCCCCGTGCTGAGGAAGAAGCGGCTCTGAGGACCGCGGCCACCTGGTGGTGGACTCTGACATGGACTCGTGGCCTCAGCCGGCCAGGGCAGGACGGAGGGCTTCCCCAACCTGTCCAGCATGGCCCAGCCGCCTGCTGCCCGGAAGGCCAAGTCGCAGCCCAGATGGGCCTCTGGCGGGCTATCCGAAACCCTTGGTGCTGCCTCCCCCGTCACGTCTACCTGTAGCCCTGGGCAGTGCTGGCTGGTGCTCTTTCCTACAGCCTCCCGGGGGCTTCTCTATCTGTGCCTCTTGCGCAGGGGGTGTAGGACCATCCAAGGAGGAGACAGGAGTGTGCCAGCAACCGTGGTCTATTTGGGCAAGCTAGGAAGTTCCTGAGGGCTGGGTCATCCCAGAGCCCCACGCTCGCCAGCAGACGGCTTGGGGGAGCAGAGAGAGGAACAGGGCCCCGGGCCTTGAGGTGGCTTTGTTCCGGTGAGCCGATGTGCAGACGGGGCTGGTCAGGAGGGAGCCAGCTCCCCAGGGGAGGAGGCTGGCTTGGGCAGGCTTCATCCAGCCCACTGGGACTTGGACTGGGTGGTCCTCAAAAGAGGTCCTGGAATCACTGGCTTTTCACACATACCCGGAGTGGCCCAGTCTCCGTGACGGGTGGGTTGTGGGGCACACAGGACGAGGCGGTGAGGACTGAATGGCCAGTGTGGGCAGGGCGGGTCAGCGGCCAGGCCTCTGCGCTTTGATGCTGGGCAGGGAGCCTGAGAGGCAGATGGGATGGTGCCATTCGGTGGAGCAAAGATGACATGTGCCTGTGGCCCTGCAGTGCTCGCAGGGGGGAGGGAGGGAGGGAGGAGGCCACCTGGGTGGAGAGATAAGGTAGTGGCCAGAGCTGGGTGCTCGCTGGAGGCCTTTGCTCTGCCAGCTGGCCCACTCACAACAGGGCCACGGAGGAGGGGGCTGCTGTCTGCAGCGGCCCTTCAGCTCCAAGGGGGGGGGGTGGAGTCAAGCCCTAATGCTCCCGTGCCCCAGGGAGCCTGGGCTGAGCTGGAGAGGGCCTCAGGAACACCCCATTCAAAGCCTCCAACGCCACAGCTGGGGAAAGGAGTCTCCTGGCCAGGCTGGGCTTCGGGCAGGGCCAGGCACTGCACCCAGGCAGGCCAGGGTCCTGGGCTCCCGAAGGATTGGAATGGAACACTCGAGCCACGGCTGTTTTCCTGCTGTCCCTCCCTCTGCACAGAGCCTGCGGTCTCTCGTGGTGCTGGCCAACTTTGCCTTCTCTGCTGCCTGCTGGCTTCCAGGTGCCTCGCGGCTGCTTCCACAGCTGTGCACGCAGCCAGCGGGCAGGGCCACCTCGAGCCAGAATGGCTCACCGTGGGAGTCTGAGGAGCCACTGGCCCCAGCGTGGGCTCCGCTCCCTCAGCCCTCAGCAGGCACAACCGCCCACCTCTCACTCGCTCGTGAAGCCTCGGGGTCTCATGCGCCTACGTGGATCACAAACTTTCCTTCAGGGCTTGGGTAGCTCCTCTGTTGGCTGGTCCGTCCTCCCTGGGTAGCCATGACCGCGGCCAGCGAGGCCGCCCCCACGCAACGGGTCTTCCAGCCACGGGGGGGCCCCAGGGGGACCCTGCTTCCTGCAGCTCCAGGTCCTGACTGCACGCACCTGAAGGCACGAGCACTTCCGGGTCACAGATGTGGACGTCACCAAGGTCCTCAGAGCTGTGCACCACAGCCCAGCATCTGCACCCAAGACTTCCGACTAAACCATTCACCCAGAGACAGTCCGTGTCCAGGCATTTTGATAGCACAAACTTCCTCACTGCTTGGAGAACAGCTCTTGTTCTTCTTGTAGCCCCTTAAGGCAAACACAGTCCTCTGACGGGCGTCTTCCTGTTGCCCACGTTTTTTTCTTCAGGATCTGGATGGTCTGTGTGTAGACATTTCATGAACAAAGATGTATTTTCTATTTATTTATTACATATGCCTTCAGTAAGTCACTGTCAGAAAAATGAAGTTGTTTTGAATGTTCTCTCTGAGGATGTCCTTTGGACTGCTTGGAAGGAGTTTGCCCTGAGCCAAGGACATTGGCTCTGGTTTGGAAAACCTTGCTGCGCATACATAATAAACATATAGAGAGGGTCACTATCTCATCTGCTTTTTTGTTTTCTATTAAAGTAGGCCGCCTTCGTTTTATGGAAATAAAACCACCCTCTCACCGTGAGGTGCCCCTGTCTTCCCCCAGGCCCAGCGTACTCGGATCCCAGACGCTCAGCCTCCAGCACCGCAGGAGCCATCTGATCTCCCACGCCCTGCAGAGCTGGGCCCATAAATGTGTGCTCAGGGTGCTGAATGAAGGCACAGGCAGCCTGTCTCCCTTCTGCTGCCGCCACTGAGGCCAGCGCCTAGGCCAGGTGTTACCCAGGGTGAGAGCAAAAGAAAAGCCTCGTGCCTGGGTACTGCAAAGAGTGGCCCCGGGCCCCTTTGTGAAAAAAATACTGCAAGGTGTTCTCCAGACAGAAGATTCAAGAGTCAGAAAGGGCTGATGTGAGAAAAGCACAGAGATACTGAAGGAAGCTTATATATCCACACTTCATGGGAGGGAAAAGCCAGAACCACTTGGTAATGGTGATGACATTATTCAGAAATGAAGGCTGGGACTGTGATCCCAGAATATAAAAAGCAATGCTGTGAGGAGGGAGCAGCCGGTAATCTCTCCCTCCCTGCAGGAGGAAATGTGCTGTTCCTTTGTAGGCACTGGTACATTTGTAATTACAGGTTTAAGAATGAAAACAAACTAATGGTGATAATTAATCCTACTTAAGAAACGAGATGTCTCCTTTGCAAACCATTACAAAAGATAAGAGCAAATAAAACAGGCTTCACTGAGGAAGAACAGGGGGTTTACCGTAAGAAAACCCTAAGAGACACAGGATCTAGCGGAGGAGAAGCCCAGAAGGGCCAATGTTTCAGTTGAAGCCCAACGATAGGGGAAAAAGCTAATAGAAGGAACCCTCTAGTTCTGACTGACCAAGGCCCGCTTACATTAGGGACAGCCATCTGCTTACCTTGGCCTAGTCATTCCAATATTAGTCTCCTCTGGAAACAGTCTCAGTTGGCTTTTTGCGGCTGTGGCGCAGCAACCAAGGGAATCAGAGGTTTAAGTCCACAGTCACTCAGCACCACGGCCGTGGTTGGGCCGGTGGCTGGGGATGGTCAAGGTGACCCATGAGCCAGATGCCTGACCTCCGAGTGCCAAAGCCTGAAGCAGCGGGCCAAGGACGCCTGCAGGGGCCGAGGAGACAGGGTCTGCCGGACTTCTACGGGAACGCATGCACCTGTCGCAGGACGAGTCCAGGCAACACGGGACACTCACGGGCAGTTCACAACACCTTCTTCCAGGCCCCTTCTCTGTGAAGAGAGACGCTCGCCGGCCAGGGCAAGGAAGGGACAGAGCAGCCCCTGGCACTCACTGGTCAGCTCACAACTCCCAACAGAGCTGGTTTGGAGAACAGCAGCGCTCCGTACTGCCTATGAGATCAGCTCAGCTCACCAGCCGGACACCAAGCTGGAAAGGAGTAAGCTTGGAGTGCGGGTTCTGGTCACGTGTCCCTTCACCTTCTACAGGGACAATGGTCTCTGTCTGGCTGACTGATGGGGATAGGATGTTTTCAAACACAAGACCAAAGGAAAGCATCAAAATTGGCTGACGAGATCGCAGATGGTGAGGGAGAGCTGAAAACATGTATGGCAGACAGATGCATACTCAGCACTTCCAGGGTGGGCCCTCTGTCCCTACCACAGCGATCGGCTGAACCGTGCTACGCTGGAAGTTAAGGCAGGCCCCATGAAGAACACACACACTTACCTGGTAGTTTTGGAGGCTGGAAGTTCCCATGCAAAGCACAAGCTCTGGAAAGGGCTCCTCTGGCTACAGCAGCGCCTGGCAGACGTGGATGTGTAGCTGTGTCTGTCTGGCCTCTCCCCTTCCTTAAAGAGCCATAAGCATTAAATTACGGGGCTCTACCTCAATGACCTTAGCTCCTTTCCTCAAAGCCATAGTGGCACTGTCTCCCTGTTGCCACTGTCACTAAACTCCGGCGTGAACTCAGGGACAGCCATCTCCAGGCTGCCAGCTGACGTGTTCCTAGTGCCTCGGCCCCTGCTCCCCGTTGCTTCTGGTCAGTTGCAGGTACCTTCAAGAGATGGGAAGGGGCAGGGAAAGGGCTGAGTTCCTGGTGTCCCTCCTCGCTGGTCTCTAAGGAGCCTGAGGTCAGGGCTTCCTAGGCATAGCGATGTCCAGTGGCCACTCTTCCTCATGCCTGGGGGGAAAACTGCTCCCCATGAATGCAGTTCCAAGGATGCCACTCTTCTCGCTGACATGCCTCAACTTCACAGTTGAGTGCCTCTGTGCCACCAGCTTCCTGCTAGGACATCGAGGATGCAAAAATACTGTCTTAGTGAAGCCCCTACAAAGCACTGAGAGAAAGGAACGACAGAAACAAAACGAGAAGGGGCCAGTTCGCACAGGAAAGTCTAAGTGGCCAAAGAATTCAGCCTCTTAGCTGGGAGCCAGTGGACACACCTATAATCCTAGTTACTCAGGAGGCCCTATTTCCAAAATAAACAACTGAAAAAAGCCAGGCTAGAGGCATGGCTCAAGTGGCAGAGTGCTTTGAGAAAGCACAGAGGAGGACTGCAGTCTGAGGCCAGCCAGGGAACAAGTTAGTGAGACCTCATCTCAACCAATAAAAAGGTAACAGGGTGCTATGGACTTGCCGCCTCAGCTGTCGGGGCATGTACGTAGGAGGATCATGGCAAAAATGAGAGCCTGGTTAAAAAATAGCAAAAAAAAAAAAGGGACCAGGGTTGTGGCTCAAGCAGCAGAACACCTGGAAGGCAAGCTCAAGGCCACGAGTTCAAATCCCAGTACTTGCCTTTCTCCCTAGAAAAAGCCCAAAGAACTGGCCTAGAAGTAACAAACTACTCTCTGGGGCAGGCTGGTCCCTGGGCTAAACTCTGTCTGTGGCCACAGATTGAGCCACACTGGACCAGGACACAAATGATATAAACTTAAGAGTAGGAGCCCAAAGGGAAACAACAGTCTTCACCCTGCACAGTCCCAGCTCAGAAACAAAGGATTCGCAAGGAGTCAGGGACCTCACCACACGGAGCAGGGTCACCTTTTCTTCCAAGGCTGGTAGAAGACGTCTCCCCTCTTCCCAGGTCAAGCATGGCAAAGTCACCCCACTTGGGGGGAAGGTAGAAGGCCAGGACCAGAGGCCTCTGTGTCCAAGCCCACGGCTGGAGCACAGCAAAAACGCCGACTGGAGAGCAGATGCGAAGCAGACCCGACATTCTACCACCACAGCTCCCTGCTCAGCCCTGGCCCAAAGCCACTGGCTCTGGAACAAAATCTGGGAAGCCTGAGTTTCTGGCTTGTGATGCTTGGGGTTCTCCTGAAACCTGTCTCGCTCCCACAGATAGCATGCGCAACCTGCAGCCTACAGTTCATCCTGGCTTGGGCAGCAATACCCGCTGCGCCCTGCAGGGGGAGGCTGCCTCCCCTGAGTTCTGTCATGCAGGTCCACAAGTCAGGGCCCCACAGAGGTGGACCTGAAGAAAGCCACGCTCCAGCACACGTGTGCGCACACAGGGGAGGTGAAAGCCATGCTACTCTTACACACACCCAGAGGGGCCCTGCGCCACCCACTCCACCGGCAGCACAGTGGCTGGACAGAATCCAGCGCTGTCCTGAACCGTGCTCATGGCCCAGGCTACCAGCAGCCTTCCAGGCCCTGGGGAGGACAGGGAACCTTGCTTAGCAGGTGAGGTACAGTTACGTAAAAGCTGTCCAGAGTCTGGAGCAGGCATGGCAAACGGTAGCAGACACCGGGTCACACCCAGAAGCACAGCAACTGGCCCACCTTGCTGGAACTGGCTGCAGGCGACCACACAAAGGGTCAGCAGATGGGGAGCTCTTGGAGCCTGGCTGCCTGGGCTCAAACCCTTGCTTGCAGCAGGATGCGGAAAGACAGAGTCTCTGGTAAGTCAGGGTGACCACACAGCACTGAGGCGTTAGAGCAAAGGGCGCAGACTGGACACCCCCACGGTTTCAGACAGAGGTACAGGAAGCTCTCAGACAGTTCACAGGCGTGGCGGAGCCATGTGTTCACTCAGGGCGGTCATGAGATCAGGGCCGTGGTACAGGACTGGTCTCTGCTGCCCCCTGGTGGCACCTCCTTCGATTCACCCGTGGGAAAAACCACTCCAGTGACTGCAAAGGGACAGGGGCCTGAATAAGCCCTTTCCCCAAGCTTTGTGCGGGATTCTACTCTCCCCAACAGAGGCCTTCTGTGGAACAGGCCTTGCCATGGTCCTAACCCTCAAACCCTCCTTCCTCGGCCTCCCAAGGGCTGGGACTGAGGGCATGCCCCACCACCTCCAGCTGACGGGCTGTGGTCACTGACTGTCCTTTGCACACCCTGCACCACAGGCCCAGGGTGGGGGTCAGCTGCAGGGACCACGGTTTGTGTGCAAACCTCCAGCCCAGAGTATCTGCTGCTCAATCACCGCCGTGTCTGCCTCAGCTCCCACTGGGCCATGTGGCCAACAGTCATCACAGCTCCAGCTCAGGGCAAGGAGACAGCCAGAGAAAACCAGGGCCCGACGGCGGGGAAAGTGAGGAGGTCTTGTCATAGCTCAGCCCTGAGGGTGTAGTTGGGGTAACTAAGACCGTGGAGGTACTCTGGCTCTCTCTGAGACATGACCTGGGGGAAGAGGATGAAGGCTGACCTTGTGTTCCTGTCCCTACCACACACAGGAGCGCCACGTACTGTGCTCAGCTCCACGGGGTGGGTCCCTCATGGGATGGCATCAGAGGCCTCCTGGCAGAAAGGAAGCAGGGAAGAAGGGACTGCAGACCAGACAGAAACTTCCAAGGCTCTCCCCCACCCTGGGCCAGCTGGAGACCCAGAGCTGAACACAGGAGCCCTGAGGGGACACCTCAAAACCACAGCACCACAGCACCTGCCTTGGCCCGAGGCTCCTGGCCACCTAATAAACCAAAGTCCATCACCAGGCGCTCCCAAGTCTAACAGTTCCAACAGTGCGCAAGGCCCCTCTTGGCCACAAGCCGCTTAAGTAACATTCTTCCAACATACCTTAGGGCAGTCAGCATTCCCACACCAAAGAGGAGGGATGGGGGCCTAGAAGGAGGAGTGGGATTGAAGCAAGACCAGACCTGCAGGACACACGTCAATGCTGAAGATCCACGACTGGGCATCTGGGGCTGTCGACTCCCAAGAGCTTGGCAGGCCTGCCCATGCCTAGCAGCCCTTAGAGCCAATCTCTCAGGCTGACGCCACCACCTGGGGCTTTCCTCAGCAGGTGTTTTACTTCCTAGCATCTGACCCGTGGGGAAGCAGGTGCTGACAGGCCAGGACAAATGTGTTCTTATGGTTTTTTTTTTTTTTGGGGGGGGGGTCCGGTCGTGGGGCCTGAACGCCGGGCCTGGGCACTGTCCCTCAGCTCTTCAGCTCAAGGCTAGCGCTCTACCACTTGAGCCACAGCGCCACTTCCGGCTTTTTTCTTTTGCTTATGTGATGCTGAGGAATTAAACCCAGGGCCTCGGGCATGCAAGGCAAGCACTCTACCACTGAGCCACCTTCCCAGCCCTTATGGGTTGTTTTTTTTTTAAAGGAACTAGTATCAGTCACTGCGCTAGAACGTGACTGGGGACGTTCCTAACCCTGGGCCAATGCTGTTTCTGTTGTCTACAATCACAGCTGAGGGCTCTTTCAGAGAATTTAAGCTCTTAAAGATGACATCTGTAGAGAAAGGGTCTTATTCAGAAAAGGCTCCAACCCACGCCAGTATCACGAAAGACACAAGTGAGGCACTTTATCAGAGAAAGACGCTTGGAAACACTGTAAATGAGGTCCTAAGTCTGCTGGTCCCTCTTCACACACCTCACGGCTGTCAGGTGAGGGAGAGAAGCCCGCCCTCAACACCAGCACCGCTTTCTTCGGCAAGGAGTCACAAAGCTTGGCCTCCCCCAGCACACGCTTCCGTGCCAGTGCTGGCTGTACCGTATCTTCACTGCAGCACTCCCACAAGCCATGAGGCCCTGATGTCTGTCTGGTCCACAGAAAATCAGAAGCACAGACATGGCAGGCCACAGGAGCAGGCAGTGAAGAAGAGTATCAACGGCTCCCCACTCTGTGGAAAGCGCAACAGTCAACCTTCTGAATGAGGTGAATGATCTTGATCTTGATCTGACAAGATCTTCAGTGTCTAACAGTCAGAAAACCTCTGCCTCGTGCTGGAAGCACTTAACAGCAATGAGGATGCTGCCAGGAGCTGGCAGATGGCGGACAGACCCTTCCTCAGGGACACAACGTCACTGGCAGGCAGCTTCCTGCTGCTCCCTCAGGAGCCTCGGCCTGCTACAGGTCTTCTCGCCTCTTTCCAGCACGGTTGTCTTCCTTGGAAGCCCTGGGCTTCGGGTCATCCTTCTTCTTTGTGCCTTTCTCTTGCTTTGTTTTGTTCTTCTCCTTGCTTCCGCCTCCCTTGCCAGGGTAGACCTGCCCCTCCAGGGTGACATCGGCACACCTGTCCTGACTGACCAGAAAGTCCTTGATCTCCCAGGCATAGCCCCCATCACGAAGCATGAAGATGGCCCGGTCGGCCCCCACGATGAACCTGGACAGGGAGAGGTGCCCGGCTGGTTAGCATAGCCAGTGAGGAGCCGGTCAGAGCCATTCAGCAGCTCTGAACCAAGAGCAGCTCATTCCAAACTGTGCATGAACACAAATCAAACGCTAGGTTTTCCAGGGCCTAACAGTTGCTGACCTTCACTATTCTCTGATGTTAGTTCCCCTCCACGCCTTGCTTGGATCACAAAGCAATATGCTGGCGTTTCTCTGGGCACAGCAGGCGACAGGGCTGTTCCCAGCACCAGAAAACCCTCAGGTGCCACACAAGGGGTGGGGAGCACAGGTGAGCCGGGCGGGGACACCCCCCCACAGGATGGTGGAGCAGGATGGGCAGGGCCAAGGAAACGTGCTCCTGCAGCCTACATCAACCACAGCCTATGGGAGAGACCAGCCCATGTTGAAAACCATTCATGGCCAGGTGTGGGGGTGAAGCCTGTAACCCCAGCCCTAGGGTGCCTGGGTCTCAGCACAGACTGCAACTTCCTTCAGTTGCAGATACTTTACCTCTGGACGTCGTAATTGGCGTTGAACAGGCTGCCCTGCCACAGGCTGGTGATCTCCTCTGTCTCCTTCTCCGTGGGGCTCCCAGACACAGTAACAAACATCATGAGTGTCTTCCCCTTCTTTGTCATTTTCAATATGCTTTCAGGCTTGCCAGGGTCTATCTGTGAGAAGTCCACAGGGGCCGAGGGTCTCTTATGCTCTGGAAGATCTCCTTCTTCTATGTCGTCATCTTTCTGTCAGGATGAGGAAAGCATCAAATCTTTCATCAGAAAAGTGCAGGCAAATACATCTACACGGATGCAGGGGCAGGGAAATGCCTAAACCGCAAAGGAAAAGGAACCCTGGCGTTCCCCCCACACCCCAGTCACCGCAGCGCCTCAGTGTGAGGCAGCGCCAACACTCAGAGTCCCTACGTGCTGCCTTCTCCTGTGTTCACTGCTGCAAGAACATCCCCAACGCGAGAAGTTACAAACACGGCCATCCTCTAGTATGAGAATGCTGCTCAGCGATGAGCAGACACCCACATACACACACAACAAACCTCAAACATACTGAGTAACAGCCAGGCATGGCAGCACAGGACTGTAACGTGATCGAAGCTTTTGGACCATCTTGAATGACTTTAGTGAGACCCTGTCTCACTAAAGCAAACCACTCAGAAAAAGCCAAAAGTGGAGCTGTGGCTCCACTTTTGCCTTGAGCAAAATCCCAGACCCTGAGTTCAAGGCACAAAACTAGCCAAAAAAAAAAAAAAAAAAAGGGTGATGGGTGATGAAACAAACATTCTGCTGTGGCTACCCTTAGCACAGCTGCTGACTGAGGAGTTGCACTCTTCCAGCTGCCCCTGCTTCCCCGCAGCTACTTTCAGGCAGCAAGTGCTACCGCTCCACTTGTCAGCTGAAGAAACTCAGTCACTGATAGTAGTTTCTGGCCAGTCCAACTTGACACTAGACTGCTGCGCTGTGTGCTGCTCTGCTTTGCTTCAGGCTGTTACAAATGCCCTTCCCCCACGCTTTCTTACCCTGCCTCAAATGTGTCGGTCCTCACAGTTTCCTTGACCTTCCCAAATGCCCTTTCTTCCTGAAGCCCTCTAAGATTCTCACGCACCTTCTTAAGCGTTTGGCCATTCTAACTGCGTTCGGGTGATGTTACCAGCAGCTTCCAGGGGAGCCCTTGCTCATCTCTGCAGGCCCCTCTTCCTGGGGGTGTGGGGGGGCCCTGAGTATCTCCAGGCAGGGCTGACTTCTCCTGAGATGATGGTCTCACTTTATAAAATGGAAAGGCTTTATCTGCTAGGGTCCAAAAGAGACAGGGAGACTGCAAGGGAGAGAGAACAGGAACGTCTCCTCTTCTTTAGTGGTGTCAGGCACACACCTAAGTGTACCCCAAGTCTCCATCAGATAAACGTGGAAATACTAGGCTGCTTTCTCCTGGTCAAACCTACCGGGTGACTATTTAAAACTCGTGCCTGGGTCTTTACCCTCCCCCCACGAAGAGGACACCACCGTCGGTGCTGGGTCTGGGTCATCCAGTAAAACAACACCGAGAAGAACCAGGGTTTCTGCCGCTGTGCGAGTGCGACCCGGCCGCGCTTCCAGAGAGGAGTGCACGGCGCGCGTGCCCCGCGACCGCACACGCGTGCCCCGGCTCACACGCGTGCCCCGCGACCGCACACGCGTGCCCCGCGACCGCACACGCGTGCCCCG